CGTATTGAAGATTTGTAAACTCTGTGGAAAAAATCTAGTGAGCTGTGGAATGTTCGACAACTATTCAGATCCGTCAAAGTACCTACACGATTTTGAATTATATGGTATTAGATAATTTCAATGCGATGAATTTTTGACAAGAATATACTATTATGAATTTGCCGCTCAATGTCCACATAAAGTAAAACAATCTTTTTTTTATTGCAATGTCACGAGAAGTCGAATATCTCCCTTTTGACTGNATCTCCCTTTTGACCGAATTCGAATCTGTATCAGTAGTAATTTTCAGTGTATCTGATGTAAAACTCTCAAGGATATTGGCCAAGAAAAAAAATTAATATGAGAAGAGGAAGACACCTATCTTCTGTCATGTGATCAAAGTTTTAGCGCAAACCCAGGTGGGGTTTGGGTACAACTCAGATCCACTTCAGTGTGGGCTCCACCTGTAGTAGCAACGTGATCTTGGAACTCCTGGCTGGATTGCCCTGGCAGCTGAAGCCATTAATGGAAAAAGAAGAAGAAAAGAAACGACAACTCGTCGGAACCGGATTAAGAGAAGAAGAACAGAAGAAGAAGAAAAATACCAAACAGCAAATCATAAATATATTTGTGGAGAAATCAGAAGGAAAAATTCAAAGTTGATTTGTTTTCTTCTACGATTTATCAAATTTACAAAAACCAATTAACTTTTCAACATGAATGCGCCACCAACATTTGAATCATTCTTATTATATGACGGGGAAAAAAAGTAATGTATAATTGTAAGTAAAAAATAATAAATTACTTATAGCCTTTTCTTTAAGGATAATTCGTGNATCAAGAAATTTGATTTCTGGTACTTTCAGCAATTGATCAGATCCTCTTTTTGATTGAAGTTCTGGAACCTTCTTTTGAAAATGATGAAAGTTCATGAACATAGTTTCAATCATATTTAGATATAGCGAGTTTCTGTTAAGCAACTATCAACACTATCTGGTGATATATTACAGTACTGTTGAATATAAGTATCATTTTTGGTAGAAAGCAAAATTGATGTATATCCTATTCATTTGAATTTTATGTTGTAATTGTAGCAAAACTAGTCACATAACCAGAGTCACTGTGATGATTGAAATGGTTCTCATCTGCGAGACTAACCTTTGTGAGGTAATTTGCTAAATGTCTGTCGGATATATAATTCAATATCCATCGTGGTATCAGCCAAGGAAGTAGTTGCTTTTTGGCAGGTATTTACCAGAACCCACTGAGTTGATAGTTGGTAGAGATGAATATTTCCATATTTCATTTCAAAATATTTATACGTATGTATATCTCCTAGGTCCTAGATAGTCCTCAGACTTGTTTTAATTATTCATATATACAGTCTTCAAACACGTTTTGATATCTGTTGAGTAAAATATTTGAGAAATCAGTCTTGTCCCAATACTTGAAGTTTTTTTCATTTTGATATCATATTTCTATATACCCACTTGTTGTTGGGCACTGAGAATGTATTTACAAAGCAGATCAGCGAGGTGATTTATTCTTTATTACAACCGATTATAACTATTATAAACCCTTTTTACAATTCACCTCCAGTGAAAACATACTAATTCTTGTGGAGAACTAATATTAACTTTTTCTTTTAGGAAGCAATTAAGGAAAAGAAAGAAGGACTAGATTAATTTTCAATCTTTATTAAGGCGTGGTGCGATAGTGACAAAAGCCAAAGGAATGTGACAGTAAGATGGCGTCAAAAGAAATGTGGATTCTTTAAATTTATCGTAAAAAATATGTACAAATATTATCAACTTATGAACCTTTCAATAAATAAAAACAAAAATGCATAGTAAAATATATTTTTCTTCAAAGTACAATCACTATATAACAAAAACGTTAAAATAAATAACATTTTGTTTCTAAAATAAATAGGTAATGTATTTACAAGAAACGCTCAATATTCCTGCTCTGCACAATCTTCTGTACTATGCCCAAAAACTGGAAAAAATAATGTAACTGAGATATAATTTATTACAAAGCAAATGACATTTCATTCACTTCTAAAGAAATATTGTTTTCTGTTTAGATTGGCAAGTGTGTTTATTAATATATTTTTAGGTATAAAATTAATAATGGTTATGATACACAATAAACATTAAAAAACGACTCATATTAGTAGATGTTTATAAGAGAAATGTATAACTGAAGTCTATATGAAGTCAATCCGAACAGCTGAATAAAAGACTA